GGATGTTCCATGGCGACTGCATATCTAACGCTGCCCTGACCTTCTTCAGATTGACCTTGATTCCACGTTCTGTAACCATGTAACCAAGGAACTTTCTGGACTTCGACCCAAACTTGCACTTCGTGGGATGAAGCTTCATTCATTATTACCTTCGTAAAGTATCAAAAGTTTCCCTCAGGTACCCTATGTGATCTTCCGCCTTTCTACTATTAACCAGCATATCGTCCACATACACCTCCATATTTCGTCTGAGTTGCCCTTCAAACATCGTATCCACCAACCTTCAAACATCCAAGATGGAGCCTGCAATTGGTGATCAAGGAAGGCTTTTCCGAGGTATGTTGTTGTTTGAAGTCTTTTTCCTTGGTTAGATTACTCAACTCCAAGGCAGATCCTCCTCTAGAAGTTGCAGCATTAGACTCCTTAGTCTCTTGTGTTTTTGTTGTGGATGTTGGTGTTTGTATTTTTTCTGATTTGCTAGCCATTAGGGTTGTGGAGAGGGAGTAATGTGTTTGTCTCTCGTTTATCATTTTCCTTATTCTTTGTGGGGAAGAATTTCATTTTTAGTCCACTACATTGGTTATTTTCTAACAAAGGTCTACCTTTTTGGCAATCATCAAGTTTTTAGTACATTAATTTAAAAAATTCATCAAATAAAGTACACTAACATTAGTGGCGGATAAAATACTCAGTTTCCTTTCCGGTCAAATTCAAAAGTCGTATGTGTCTGGTTCAAGTGGGTGTCCTACCTTGGATTCTTCTCCTCGAGCCAGTTGTATCTGTAAACTTTTAGTCCAAATATAGTTCGTTTGCCCACTCAATTTCCCATCTAAAATAAATTGAGTCGTTTTCTATTTGGTTTAATTACATCCGCCATATAGCATCTGTTTAGGCGGGTGACCCACCATTGGGATTCTTCTTGTCAAGCCGGTCATACTCACGAAATTTGATCTCAATTGGAGTTCGTTTTCCTGCTCAATTTGACATGTAAACTAATTTTAGCCCAAATTTGTTGTTATTTATATAGGAACTATTTTTTGTGCCTTGTGGTGTACATTTTAGTCGGGTGACTCACCATTGGATTTGTCTCATCAAAACGGTCGTGACCACATTTTTTTTTTATCTCAATTAGATTTCATTTGCTTAGTCAATTTTTCGTCCAAAATAATTTGGGTTGTTCTATTTTCAATCTAATTATGTTGTCGCCTCACGTCAATTTCACCACCGTTGAATTCTTCGCGTCGAGACAGTCACATAGCTAAAATTCCAGACAAATTGGAGTTGGTTTGCATAGTCAATTGCCTGTTCAAAATTATATGCACAAACTACATTTCGACCCATGATTTGCCTGCCTCGAGCCCGTGATAATCTGACCTTTATCCTGCCACAGATGATTAGTATATCATATTTGTTTCAAATAAATGTACTAAGTTTGATGTCAGTCAAAAAGGTGGACATTGCTGAAAAATGAGCAATATAATAAATTAATAATAAAATATTATCGTCTTTGTGGGCCAAGATTGTGTCTTGTAACCAGTTTGTTACTCAAACTCATTGTATTTGGTTGTTGGAGTATTATGAATGTTAGTTTGCGGGAAAAAAATAAAAATAAAAATAAAAAATATCGACATCGTTTTTAAAAAGTGTTATTAACTGATGTGGTGATCATGCTTTTCTCCCGATATAAAAAAATGTTTTTTCTATTAGTGAGAATGTGTAAGAGTTCAAAAATAAAGTACAAATTACTTTGAGACGTCATTACAAGTTTCAAAAATATCTTTTTAAATTATGAATTTCATAAGTATAAATTTTAAATAATATAAATTTTAAATAATATTTTAGATAATATTAATTTTGGAATTTTATAATTCAGATGAAGGTAAATTTTGTTCATATTACTTTTAAAGAAATATATTGGTTAAACATAATACGAGGAAACAAATAACTTTCCATGATGCATAATTTGGTACTATGTAATATTGTTTGTGATGTGAACTCCGCCCCCACAATTTGCTTCTTCATCGACCAATTTGGGCTTTACTAGC